ATACATTTAAAAGTTTTTATCAAACCACTTGATCACCCATAGATTGGTTAATATATAATATCTCATTTAAGCTCTTGTATCACAGTATAACACGTTTTTCGTTACGTATAAATTGACCTTTTTACTATCTTTCTTTCATTAATTCTATGTCTCATTTGTTTGTGTTTAACATTTGTAATGTAATCCACAGATGGCTTTTTTTTTTTTTTTTCCTGGGACAATATTATATAGGACTCAAGAAGCAAAAGCCTAAAACCAAGGATTCTACCAGCAAAATTATCCCCATTAAATCCTGCGCAATACTGATCTATACAACTATTGGGTAAAGATGAACTATTACGGCTCAACAATTAATGTTATGTAATTATAAATTATTAAAAAAATCTCTAATTGTAACCCTAAATTAAACACAAAATGATGTTGATATTATAGATATAATACCAAGTTAGACCATACAGCTAGCCTATTAACCACATCTGAATTACAATCTTAATCCACAGTGTACAGACTATTCAAGATTGTATTCCAACAATTAACATTATCATGTTGCCAAACGGCCAAACTCCTGATATTATAAATCAACAGGACCATGTGGCATGGTCATTTTAATTTACTTTGATTAATCATGATAAGCTCGAAGGTTGTAAGCAAATATAGCACGTAATTTGGGAAAAATTATTCCCTTGAAAGATGTATATGTGTCCATGAAATGTTTTGAATCATCCTGGAAATTGCCATTCCCCATCTTGTATTTTAATAGATGAATGGGTTTCTCCTTGGAAGAGCCGGTTGTCTGTTGCGTGTAAATTCTGGCAGTTTACGCATGACCACCGCACTAAATACATCTGTACAAAGGTCGACGTTGAAATCTTTGTCATGCAAATTCTTAGCATACTCAAATATGTGACCAGAAATACAGACAATCAATATTCGATACCAAGTATATATATATATATATACATAGGCGCATGCATTTCGGGCTGCCTGCCAGTATTTGAAGACAAATGGTGCAAAAAAACAAGACCAGGTCATAGCCTATGGCATCTTAAAATATAACTGTACATCAACTGGTGACAAAGTTTTTCGTGTGAAATTTTATTAACTTAAAAATTCGAACTCATCATAGCGCTTCAAATGTTGATTAGGTTACGCAGCAATTCAACATTCAACAACATGAGAACTGACTTCCAGGAAAAAAATTAAGACAAAAGAGTTGAATTAATCAGAGATTTATTTAATCACAAGCCCTTGCCAAACTATTTCCTTAACCATTAAAGCTGAGAAAATCCTTTCAACAAGTCTTTCTAGTTGATTAAATGCAACTCATAAACCAATATTTTCATTCGATTGTCACAGATGTCAAATTAATATATCTGTCAAAAGAAATAATCTCCTCAAGTCAACCCTCACCCCTTTAAGAGATTTCTTCTCCCATACGAGAGCTGATAAATATGAAGTTATCAACTTCACAACTTTTGTATGCATATCAACATTAAAATAATTCCATTGCATGACGCTCTTGTCAATTCATTTTAAGGATTTCAACTTGAAACAAAAAATTTCTTTGTATGACCAGTTCATATTCTAAACTCTTTGCGCAATTAATGTCAAGAGTCAGTTCACTTTAACCAATTAAATAATTAAAAAACTAAAGTCTGTCTAGTTGATGGGCATATAAATATGTATCTCCGTCTCCTACAATCTTCATTCAAGTACTCGCTTTTTGTATCTATCTAATTTTAATCTTTCTAGATTGTCCAACAAAATGAGACATTCATATATGTTTCTAGTTTTCACAGTTGTTCTTTGTCTCATTAGCTCGCAATTTTGTGAGGCTGGCCGAGTCCTAAGTGACGAAGAAGATGAGTTAAAGAAGGGTCCTGTCCATGGCGTCGGATCAAATGGTTGCACTTACATCCCGGAGAGTGGTGAGACTCCTTGCTACAACAATCGGAACTTCGCAGGCAGCCGTGCCAGGGCTCCTCCACAGTACTCGAATCTTATGGGTGCAGCTATTAGCCGCAAATAAAAGGCTTATTTGTAGCCATTAACAACTTAAAAATTAATAAGTGATATGCGCCAAATTTGGCTATTTATTGTTCAGAATAATGGGATTATGCCCCGCCCCAGGTACTAAAGGTGCCTGTTCCTTTTATATATCTTCTCCTCTTTGTTATATATACTATATAGCATTTGCCATATATAGGCACAACTGGGTCAATAAACGGTCAATGTTCTTGTAATATCTTTTAATAAATATATATATATAACTAAATTACAAAGATAAGCACTCGGATATGGTACTAAATTTGTTTCCTCTCCGCCTAACCAGAAAATCAGATGATTAAAAAACTATTCATGCCCACTATTACGGAGTTGCAGTGTCATTAGTTAGTTCATGATTTTTATTTTATTTTAAAAAATGACTAAACGTAAGATAATAACCACAGACTCCATCAACAATAATCTAAGTGGGAATTTAACCGAGTTTAAAAGATTTTTTTGTCGTGGTTACTCCTAATTAAATGTTTTTATTTTTCCCGAAAGCTCCACAATATGCAGAAGAAGTTATAAGGTCATTAATTTTGCAATAATAAAATATTGTTTTATTAATTAAGTAACTTAATTAACTTTATATCATATTCCATTGTAACTTGTTTTTCCTCCCCTCAGGGAACTTGGCAATTAATTGATTCCCACATTATACATGATCACTTTTTTTTTTTTTTTTTTTTAATTAAGAAAATAAATATCAAATACCCTAACCTAAGTTTCACTAATTCAATCTTTGATGGTATTGAAATCAGTTGGCCGAAGTTTCCCAGCTCATGTCACATTACAACTTTTCCCAAATCCTATCAAAGTTTCAATTTTGAAGCTGTATCCAGCTACGAACTTGAATAAAAGATACAAGTAAAATTTGACTGAAAATTTTGAAAATATATTATTCTTCTAATCAATCAACCTTGGCACGTCCAAAGACCCAAAAAAGAAAACCATTATTGGCATGATGCTTGCGGGTTCATTAATTAACTCAATAACATACTTATCTTACTTTGACTCGTTCTATTGCAAAAGGTGATGTATAAGTTCTAACCAACTCATTTGGTCTATGCTTTGGCATCTTTTCATCGCAGCTACTCCTTGTTTCAACCGTTCTTTATATTTTTATTTTTCACATTTATCGCTTAATCTGATTGCACCTTAATATAAGATAAAATAAAATTGAAAAATATGAAAAAAGTCTTAATATGTATGAAAGCCTATTATATCTGTTTAATTCATGACCAATTTGAAAGGGAAAAACAGAGATTAAAACTAGCCGTATATGTATATAACAAAAGAGAAAAAAAAAAAAATATATAAATTGAACCGAGCAATGGTTTTGCATCATCGTTATAAACTGAACATTTTCAATAAATAAAATTAATTAATTAATTCCTGTGTGTTTTAAATTAAGATAAATACATACATTGGTAATTATATCCCAACCACACTTAACATGGTTGTAAATATTACCAAGAAACAGACAAGTAAAAAAAAATATATACAATCCTAAGATTGAAAAAAACAGGGTTAAAGTTACATAAATTTTTGGTGATCTACAGTTGCATCTGAATTTGACCTGACATAAATTACGAGACTTGATCTTGGCGATGAGTGTTTGAACCAGTTGAAGCCACACCTACTTCCATGACTAGGTCAGGAAAGGCAGGAGGGGCACGCAAAACACTGCCGGCTACGTTCATGCCATTGAGAGTGCAAGAGCCTGAGCCCTGGCCAGGTATGTAAGTGCATGGGTTACCAGCCAAAGGGGGCACTGGCCCCTGTTGTAGAGATTGGAACACCAGCCCCCCTTCTTTCTTCATCCATCGCTCTCCTTCTAATGGCCTCGTTGCATGGGAAGCCAAGAAAATGGAGAAAATGAATAAGACAGTTAAGAGGTTTTTCCTGTAAGGGACACCCATAATCTTGGTAATTAATATACCTTAATTTCTCTGTTAATATCTTGAGTTTTGAGTAGAAGATTTGGAGGGAAAATCAGTTTTGAGAGATGGTGTGGGAGATAAGAGGAGAGTGTTGTGTGTGTAAATATATATAGGGTTGTAGTAGTTAATGACGCTTAATCTGCAAGCTTAACTACTTTGACTGCGTTTGGTGCCCATTTGATTTTACTAAGATTTATCTTTTTGACTTTTGCAATGTTTGAAGGTTGACCCGAGGTAGAATGGAATGGATCAAACACACGGCATGTTAATTTCTTGGACCTGAACCAGTCATATTAAGTGGGGAACAAGAAGTGTACAAATTACAACTTTATGTTTATACTTTTGTAAATTAAGAATGGTGTTTATCTGTAAACACAGTTATCTTATGATTTAATCCTAGCAGTGAAACCTAGAAACGAGACAAAAAAAAAAAAAAAAATTAGTCATCAAGGAAAGTTAATTCAAGAAACTTAAATTAGTTAAAGTTAATTATTTTTCAATTAAACTACTTCTGATTGCTCTCAACAATTTAAATTAAGATTCAATAACCATAATAATTAAATTTTTAAGTATAATACTACACGGAGAAATTAACCCTACAAACAAATTGGTGGGTTGTGAATGGATATGTGAAAATTAGGTAAACATTTTGGAGACGATAGAAAGATAAAGTTTGTTGTACTGTTCAGCCACTGGTCAACAGTTTGAATAGACCCATTGTATCGTAAGTAATTACATCAAAACTTTGCTTGGAATAAGATCAGCGAGCCAACATATAATTTTCTCTGTGACGTTTCGTTTTCAAATTGGCCAGGTATTAAATTCCCCCCGCCAGAAACCATGTACATGAAATTTCAGATATTAGCCTTATTTACAGAGTTCGGAGTTCCCTTTTGATACTGCACCACATTGCATAAATAATTCATCTGACTGATACCTATCAGATTCACTGTAATTTTATCCAATTTAACATTAAAAGAGAAGCATGGCAAGAGTCACCGTCCCCACGAGTTTGAGAAAATATTCATTCAACACTTCTAAGTTAGAGTACAGATCATTAATGCAAACAAAGACACTCACCAGTTTGTCAGCCACAAGACTATTAAACTTTTCTACAAGGAGATGCCATTCATGACTTGGCATGCGGAGTGTGCCCCTTAATACACACAAGTTAATGTACAATCATATCATTTAGAAAGAGCAGCAACCAATTCCTCCTTCAACTGTTCGGCAGCACCAGTTTGGGTCCGAATGGAAAATGTGTGAATAACCTTGTCATCTGTTGTAGACACATTAGACTCTTGAGATATAATCTGATGTTCGCTGAATGTTTTCATCACCCCAGAAACCGGGTGAGTATCCATAGGGCAGCTCACCCTCACAACTGCATCCTCGTGTCTTGGTTGAAAATCAATCTCTGACAGAGAAATCTGCCTTTGCTTAATGTTTACCATCTCCTTCTCGGTTTCCAAAAGCCTGATTTTTGTCTGAAGGTCTGTAATATAAGTAATGGCATCGCCAAGCAGAGAGGCCTTGTCCATCTTAGAGATATTAGGCACGACTGCTCTTAAGGCATAGAACCGCTGGTTAAGCTTCTCACGCCTCTGCCGCTCAGCTTCTACATGATTCAATGGCTCTTCTCTCCCATTCGCAGGCTTTCTCCCTCTCTTCCTTGGTTTCCGCTCATCTGCCTGAGATGGAGAGTCATCCTTCAGCTCCAAACCAGACACCCTTGCTTGCGCATCATAACCCCCAACAATCATTTGGTTCAAATGCGGAAAAAGTTTTGTTTCATTATCATCAGACCGACAATCATTTGATGGATTGCCATAAATCTGATTCGTACCAATTGTTTGTAAGTCGTAGGAGTCTGAAGGGAAACTCAAATCATCTTCCACTTTAGGGCAAAAGTTAATGCTGATTGATCGTGATTTTGAGCCACCAAGACTTAGTTCACGCCCAAAAATCTTTGGAATTGCCTTCTGTGGCACAGAACTTGATCCCCCAAATACAGTTTTGACCATCTCCACAAAACTCTGTTCCTCTGGAATTAATTTGACCGAACCAAGCTCCACAACTCCAGACTTTGCAGGAACAAACACTAGAGTTTGGAATCCAGCTGACCTGGCTAGAAAGGATCTTGATTGATAATGATCTACACAACTAACTACGCCTGAAGCCCACATCGATCTACCAGACTTATAAGACTCCCCAGGACCATATGCCGAATCACATCGGAAGCTAAAATACATTGAAGTGAGATAAAACATCTCCACATCTGACACACCATCTAACCTTGACGTGTAATTATCCTCCTCCAACCCACCAAACGAAGCATGTAGCTTTTGGAGCACCTGCTTTTTCACCTTCTCTTTCCTCTCAACTTCTTCCAAATTTTCATCCCCACTAGAATTAATATCTCCAATAGCACCATCTTTTGGGTGCCGACAGTGCCCATCTCCCCAGATCAAAACAGACCCACCAGATTTCAGGTTTGAGGCATGCCAGTAAATTGCATAGTTCCAATTGGATCCATCAACTATCTGGCATAGCCCCTGCTGCACACCCAAATCACCAGGAGGTGAAACCATATCAGCCAACACATTACTAGAGGCGGATGACTTCAAGAATTCACAGGCCTCAGTACCCAATACTGATTCCACCATAGCCTTATCTCCTTCATTAAACCAAAATTTCTCATCCATCTTCTCACTACTTAAACTACTAATTCCACACAATCACCAAATCCCCAAACCAAAATAATAAGTATTCAAGAACTAACTTAGACTTGAACTAACAATTCCCAGAAATTAAAGCCAACTCTTTGATACAGAAGCTCAAAAAACTCTCACAAACAAATCAGCCAGTTGAATCACGAACTAGACGACCCCAATAAACTAAACTTCAGTATTTCAAACATACACAATTGGAAAATTTCTTAAAGCATCCCCTAAACCCAACTTCAAGACTAATCTATGGTAGCATCTCATATAGAAAACATTCAATATACAATCCTAAGATTGAAAAAAACAAAACAAGGGTTAAAGTTACAAAAATTTTTGGTGATCTACAGTTGCATCTGAATTTGACCTGACATAAATTACGAGACTTGATCTTGGCGATGAGTGTTTGAACCAGTTGAAGCCACACCTACTTCCATGACTAGGTCAGGAAAGGCAGGAGGGGCACGCAAAACACTGCCGGCTACGTTCATGCCATTGAGAGTGCAAGAGCCTGAGCCCTGGCCAGGTATGTAAGTGCATGGGTTACCAGCCAAAGGGGGCACTGGCCCCTGTTGTAGAGATTGGAACACCAGCCCCCCTTCTTTCTTCATCCATCGCTCTCCTTCTAATGGCCTCGTTGCATGGGAAGCCAAGAAAATGGAGAAAATGAATAAGACAGTTAAGAGGTTTTTCCTGTAAGGGACACCCATAATCTTGGTAATTAATATACCTTAATTTCTCTGTTAATATCTTGAGTTTTGAGTAGAAGATTTGGAGGTAAAATCAGTTTTGAGAGATGGTGTGGGAGATAAGAGGAGAGTGTTGTGTGTGTAAATATATATAGGGTTGTAGTAGTTAATGACGTTTAATCTGCAAGCTTAACTACTTTGACTGCGTTTGGTGCCCATTTGATTTTACTAAGATTTATCTTTTTGACTTTTGCAATGTTTGAAGGTTGACCCGAGGTAGAATGGAATGGATCAAACACACGGCATGTTAATTTCTTGGACCTGAACCAGTCATATTAAGTGGGGAACAAGAAGTGTACAAATTACAACTTTATGTTTATACTTTTGTAAATTAAGAATGGTGTTTATCTGTAAACACAGTTATCTTATGATTTAATCCTAGCAGTGAAACCTAGAAACGAGACAAAAAAAAAAAAAAAAATTAGTCATCAAGGAAAGTTAATTCAAGAAACTTAAATTAGTTAAAGTTAATTATTTTTCAATTAAACTACTTCTGATTGCTCTCAACAATTTAAATTAAGATTCAATAACCATAATAATTAAATTTTTAAGTATAATACTACACGGAGAAATTAACCCTACAAACAAATTGGTGGGTTGTGAATGGATATGTGAAAATTAGGTAAACATTTTGGAGACGATAGAAAGATAAAGTTTGTTGTACTGTTCAGCCACTGGTCAACAGTTTGAATAGACCCATTGTATCGTAAGTAATTACATCAAAACTTTGCTTGGAATAAGATCAGCGAGCCAACATATAATTTTCTCTGTGACGTTTCGTTTTCAAATTGGCCAGGTATTAAATTCCCCCCGCCAGAAACCATGTACATGAAATTTCAGATATTAGCCTTATTTACAGAGTTCGGAGTTCCCTTTTGATACTGCACCACATTGCATAAATAATTCATCTGACTGATACCTATCAGATTCACTGTAATTTTATCCAATTTAACATTAAAAGAGAAGCATGGCAAGAGTCACCGTCCCCACGAGTTTGAGAAAATATTCATTCAACACTTCTAAGTTAGAGTACAGATCATTAATGCAAACAAAGACACTCACCAGTTTGTCAGCCACAAGACTATTAAACTTTTCTACAAGGAGATGCCATTCATGACTTGGCATGCGGAGTGTGCCCCTTAATACACACAAGTTAATGTACAATCATATCATTTAGAAANAGTTTCACTAATTCAATCTTTGATGGTATTGAAATCAGTTGGCCGAAGTTTCCCAGCTCATGTCACATTACAACTTTTCCCAAATCCTATCAAAGTTTCAATTTTGAAGCTGTGTCCAGCTATGAACTTGAATAAAAGATATAAGTAAAATTTGACTGAAAATTTTGAAAATATATTATTCTTCTAATTAATCAACCTTGGCATGTCCAAAGACCTAAAAAAGAAAACCATTGTTGGCATGATGCTTGCGGGTTCATTAATTAACTCAACAACATACTTATCTTACTTTGACTCGTTCTATTGCAGAAGGTGATGTATGAGTTCTAACCAACTCATTTGGTCTATGCTTTGGCATCTTTTCATCGCTAGCTACTCCTTGTTTCAACCGTTCTTTATATTTTTATTTTTCACATTTATCGCTTAATCTGATTGCACCTTAATATAAGATAAAATAAAATTGAAAAATATGTGTACTATAAAGTTTCTTTAAAAAAAAAAAAAAAAAAAAGTCTTAATATGTATGAAAGCCTATTATATCTGTTTAATTCATGACCAATTTGAAAGGGAAAAACAGAGATTAAAACTAGACATATATATAACAAAAGAGAAAAAAGATATATATAAATTGAACCGAGCAATGGTTATGCATCATCGTTATAAACTTAAAATTTTCAATAAATAAAATTAATTAATTAATTCCTGTGTGTTTTAAATTAAGATAAATACATACATTGGTAATTATATCCCAACCAAACTTAACATGGTTGTAAATATTACCAAGAAACAGACAAGTAAAAAAAAAAATATACAATCCTAAGATTGAAAAAAACAAAACAAGGGTTAAAGTTACAAAAATTTTTGGTGATCTACAGTTGCATTTGAATTTGACCTGACATAAATTACGAGACTTGATCTTGGCGATGAGTGTTTGAACCAGTTGAAGCCACACCTACTTCCATGACTAGGTCAGGAAAGGCAGGAGGGGCACGCACAACACTGCCGGCTACGTTCATGCCATTGAGAGTGCAAGAGCCTGAGCCCTGGCCAGGTATGTAAGTGCATGGGTTACCAGCCAAAGGGGGCACTGGCCCCTGTTGTAGAGATTGGAACACCAGCCCCCCTTCTTTCTTCATCCATCGCTCTCCTTCTAATGGCCTCATTGCATGGGAAGCCAAGAAAATGGAGAAAATGAATAAGACAGTTAAGAGGTTTTTCCCGTAAGAGACACCCATAATCTTGGTAATTAATATACCTTAATTTCTCTGTTAATATCTTGAGTTTTGAGTAGAAGATTTGGAGGTAAAATCAGTTTTGAGAGATGGTGTGGGAGATAAGAGGAGAGTGTTGTGTGTGTAAATATATATAGGGTTGTAGTAGTTAATGACGTTTAATCTGCAAGCTTAACTACTTTGACTGCGTTTGGTGCCCATTTGATTTTACTAAGATTTATGTATTTGACTTTTGCAATGTTTGAAGGTTGACCCGAGGTTGAATGGAATGGATCAAACACACGGCATGTTAATTTCTTGGACCTGAACCAGTCATATTAAGTGGGGACCAAGAAGTGTACAAATTACAACTTATGTTTATACTTTTGTAAATTAAGAATGGTGTTTATCTGTAAGCACGGTTATCTTATGATTTAATCCTAGCAGTTGAAACTAGAACGAGACAAAAAAAAAAAAAAAAATTAGTCATCAAGGAAAGTTAATTCAAGAAACTTAATTAGTTAAGTTAATTATTTTTCAATTAAACTACTTCTGATTGCTCTCAACAATTAATTAAGATTCAATAACCATATAATTAAATTTTAAGTATAATACTACACGGAGAAATTAACCCTACAAACAAATTGGTGGGTTGTGAATGGATATGTGAAAATTAGGTAAACATTTTGGAGACGATAGAAAGATAAGATTGTTGTACGTTCACTAACTGGTCAACAGTTTGAATAGACCCATTGTATCGTAAGTAATTACATCAAAACTTTGCTTGGTAAGATCAGCGAGCCAACATATAATTTTCCTGTGACGTTCGTTTTCAATTGGCCAGGTATTAAATTCCCGCCAGAAACCATGTACATGAATTTCAGATATTAGCCTTATTTACAGAGTTCGGAGTTCCCTTTTGATACTCCACCACATGCATAAATAATATCTGACTGATACCTATCAGATCAAGTAATTTTATCAATTACATTAAAGAGAAGCATAGCAAGAGTCACCGTCCCCCCCCACGTTGAGAAAATATTCATTCAACACTTCTAAGTTAGAGTACAGATCATTAATGCAAACAAAGACACTCACCAGTTTGTCAGCCACAAGACTATTAAACTTTTCTACAAGGAGATGCCAGTCATGACTTGGCAATGCGGATGAGGTGCCCCTTAATACACACAAGTTAATGTACAATCATATCATTAGAAAAAGCAGCAACAATTCCTCTTCAACTGTTCGGCCAGCACCAGATTGGGTCCGAATGGAAAATGTGTGAATAACCTTGTCATCTGTTGTAGACAATTAGACTCTTGAGAATAATTTGATGTTGCCTGAATGTTTTCATCACCCCAGAAAACGGGTGAGTATCACCAGAGGGCAGCTCACCCTCACAACTGCATCTCGTGTCTTGGTTGAAAATCAATCTCTGACAGAGAAACTGCCTTTGCTTAATGTTTACCATCTCCTTCTCGGTTTCCAAAAGCCTGATTTTCGTCTGAAGGTCTGTAATATAAGTAATGGCATCGCCAAGCAGAGAGGCCTTGTCCTCTAGAGATATTAGGACACGACTGCTCTTAAGGCATAGAACCGCTGGTTAAGCTCTCACGCCTCTGCCGCTAGCTTCTACATGATTCAATGGCTCTTCTCTCCCCTCGCAGGCTTTCTCCCTCTCTTCTGGTTTCCCTCATCTGCTGAGATGGAGAGTCATCCTTCAGCTCCAAACCAGACACCCTTGCTTGCGCATCATAACCCCCACAATCATTTGGTTCAAATGCGGAAAAAGTTTTGTTTCATTATCATCAGACCGACAATCATTTGATGGATTGCCATAAATCTGATTCGTACCAATGCTTGTAAGTCGTAGGAGTTATGAGGGAAACTCAAATATCTTCCACTTTAGGGCAAAGTTATGTGATTGATCGTGATTTTGAGCACCAAGACTTAG